TTCTCTGTGTATTAGTACTCTTCACAACACTGGTACGTAGTTTAATAAGGCAGTTCTTAACCATTGAGCTATATGGTAGAAAGAAAAAGTGTTCTTTGAATAAAGGCCAAAGTCATTAGCCAAATTCAACAGAAGGAAGATTTTAAAAGATGATTAATGCAATTAAGGTATAACTAACCTTTTCAGCAATTTATGAATGTGTAAGTTAAATTGAGTAACTCATCGAGGCAAATTGCTGGTCATCATTGGGGGATTAATTGCACTATGAGGCATGCATTTAGACACACATCAGGTGAGTACTCAGTAATGCAGCTGCAGACTAAGTAATGACAATATGGTGCAGTCAGTTACACAATTTAATTTAGACACACATAAATCCCCATCAGAATTCTGACTATTTCTAAAAATCTGAAAAAGCACCTCATGTTCTCTAGCAGCCATTGTTTTTTAAAAAAAATAATTTGGGGACAATGTGAAAGTCCACAGGGATTGTGGTGGGCAAAATATGAGATGAAATGATCTAACAGAACTTTAAATGAGTGTCAAAAAGCGTTCTTGAAGATGGTTTAGATATGATACTTATACAGTATTTTTAAAACTGTTGTACCTGTTGTCAGCCGCCCTGGGTCCCCTCTGGGGAGAAAGGCGGCAAACAAACAAACAAACAAATAAATAGGCATCCCAAGAGGAGCGAATTTAGAATCACAGAATCATAGAAAACTGAAGTTGGAAGGGGCCTACAAGGCCATCAAGTACAACCCCCTGCTCAATACAGGAATTACAGGCTATAATCATGTATACTGGCATGTGAACAGTAAACCAAAAATATTTACAAATTAATCCAGATCTAGTGTTGGCAAAACAGTGCAAATATAGAAATCACTGACTGCTCAGAAACATGTGCATTACAGTGATTTGGTGACAAAGGTTTAATTTTGGATCCATTTCAACTGGGTTTCAGGCCTGGTTTTGTTACGCAAACTGCCTTGGTCGAGCTGTACAATGACCTTTGCCAGGAGAGAGACAGGTGGAGTGTGACCCTGTTGACAATCCTGGACCTCTCGGCGGCTTTCAACATCATCAACCATGGTGTCCTTCTGGATAGGCTGGCTGGGTTGGGAGTTGGGGGCACCGCTTTATGGTGGTTCCGCTCCTTCCTGGCTGACTGTGTCCAGAGGGTGGTGCTGGGGGACAGTTGCTCTGTCCCATGGCATTTATGCCACAGAGTTCCTCAGGGCTCGATATTGTCCCCCATACTGTTTAACATCTACATGGAACTGCTGGGAGAGATCATCAGGAGGTTTGGGCTGAGGAGTCAGCAATATGCTGACGACAGCTCTACCTCTTGTTTTCCAACAATCCAGGTGAGACGGTTTCTGTGCTGAATTCATATCTGGACCTGATAATGAACTGGATGAGGGTTAATAAATTGAAACTCAGTCCAGGGGCGCCTTCCTTCAGCTGCGGAAATTATACCAGCTACGGCCCTACCTGGACGAGCGGAGTCTCATGACAGTTACACATGCACTGGTAACATCTCATATAGATTACTGCAATGCACTCTATCTATGTGGGTCTGCCTTTGAAGATGGTCCGGTGACTGCAACTGGTCCAGAATTGAGCTGCACGGCTGGTGAGTGGTGGGGCCACTAGGGAACACGTCAAGCCGATTCCGTTTAAGTTACATTGGTTACCAGTTGCTGCCCGGGCCCAATGCAAAGTGCTTGTTTTGACATATAAAGCCCTAAACAGCTTGGGCCCTGGATACCTGAAGGACCACTTCCTTCTATATGAACCTATCTGGCAGTTGAGATCTAGCCAGGGGGCCCTTTTGAAAGAGCTGTCCCTCAAGGAGGTAAGAGGGATGGCTTGTAGACAAAGGATCTTCTTGGCAGCTGTCCCCAGACTATGGAACGCCATCCCAATTGAGATTCGTCTGGCACCGACGCTGATGACATTTCAGCACCAGATCAAAACCTTCCTGCTCCAGAAGGCTTTTAATTGAAATAGTAGCAACTGTGGGTCCTGATGGCAGTTTTTAAGAGTACATATTTTAATTGTATTATCTTTTTTGAATTGTATTTTAATTGTTGTAGTTGCCCAGAGACCTTTGGGTAGTGTGGGCAGAATATAAGTTAAATAAATAAAAGCATCTGCAAAGAACGGAATTACTAGCCGGGCCTGTGGGACTCCAGTGGGCAACCCCAGTATCCCTGTCCAAAATTTCCAGAGTTCCAGGCATTCATATCTTGCGGCAACATCATAGCAGAACGTGGAAGTTTCCTCTTTGCACAAGAGCTCCCAGACTCCTCCAGCCGGTAAGGCCACTGGCGTCCTGATTAGGGGATTCTGGGAGATACAGTCCAAAAAAAAAAAGGTCCTGTTCCCAAACTGTGTGTTGCGAGACTGCGAAGAGCCGGCAAAGAGGAAAGGGCACCCCGTGCATGCACAGAGTGCGTGGCCCCTTCATGCTCATGAACTAAGGGGGAAGGGAAAGAGGCGCTGCCAGGGAAAGGGAGCCTGAGCTTCGGAGGACCGTCGCGGTGCAACAGACTGACCCGCCGTTCACTTACCAGCCGGGTGGCCCGGTACGGCCCAGGCCCGACAAGTCGCGCTTCCATCGACCGCCACGATAGGAGAACGCTCATCGGGCAGTTTCCACGGGGACCGGCAAACACAACATGCACACCATTGGGACAGTTTGAATCTGAAACCAGTGAGTCTTGATTGGATCGAAGTCTGGCCACGTGGTACTCCGGGAGCAGCCCATTGGTGGTAACTCTACGAGTCGCCTTATTTCCCTTCCTCTCGTTTCTATTTAATGAAAAGGGAGAGAGAGAAAAAACACACACCCCGCCCTCTCGCGGCGCCTTCGCGGTTCTGCAGAAGCTGATTGGCTTCCATTCAGGAAACTCCTGAGCAACGTCAGAGGCCAGCTTTACATAAATACGGGAGCCGACCAATGAGGTGTTTGTCCTTTTTTTTTTTCCTGTCCGTCGCTCAGCAACTGTGGCGCGAGGAAGCACAGAAAGTGACGTAGTTTAGAACGTTTAAAACTCCGGCTGCAATCTTAATGCGCGAGGTTTCGGTGGGAAGAAGTTCGAAGTTCTGCATGGAGAGAGAGCACGCGTGCCTATGCAGTCTATTCTTTTTTTTCCTTTGAAGGGATTTGTGGCGATGTTGCTTGGCTATTGGGCAAGGCTAGTGCTGGGCGATTGAAGAGAGAAGGTTCTGTGCAGTGCCCAAACCCCAGCTTAATAGACGCTGCCAAAGGTGCCGCTTCTGCAGTTCTTCCCTAATCCTAAAGCACAAGGCAGGGTGGGTCTATCAGTCATTCCCGACCCGATCCTATTTACCGTCGCTGAAGAGGGAGGCCAATTCCTGTATAGCTGAAAGCATATGCTCTCCCAATGGGCAACTCTCTAATAAAAACTGGCTCAGGGAAGACTGCTTAAACAAAGGAAGACTGACGGGGGAGAGGGGTCTGGCTTTCTCTTTAAAGTCACTTTGGCAAAAACAGCTGATGGCAAAACTTCAGCAGGTAGAAATACATACCAACCAACCAAACCAAAAAAGGAGCTCAGTGTAAAAAAAAAGAAACTCGATGTAACCCAGTGAGAGTGAATAAATAGAATCGTAATCCAGATGAGACAGAGGTGCTCCTGGTCAGTGGAAAGGCAGGTCAAGGAATAGGGATGCAGCCAGTCCTGGAGGGGATTGCACTCCCACTTAAAAAACAAGTGCACAGTTTGTACAAGTAAAACTATGCAGTGCACCAGCGACATCCATTTCTCAAGAGATACGATCTGGCCATTGTGATACACGCCCTAGTTACTTCGCAGCTGGATTAATGTAATGCACTCTATGTGGGGCTGCAGATGAAAAGTGTCAGGAAATTTCAATGGGTCCAAAATGCAGCAGCCAAGCTATCTGAAAGACTATCTCCCATTATGAGCCGGTTTGAATGTTAAGATCATTAGAAGCCGCCTTTCTCTCAGTCCCACCGCCTTCACAGGTATGTTTGGTGGGGACACGGGAGAGGGCCTTCTCCGTAGTTGCTCCCAGACTCTGGAATCCCCTCCCACAGGAGGCCAGACTGGCCCCATGTTTGCTATCCTTCTGCAAACAGGCAAAGACTTTTCTCTTCAGGCAAGCCTTCCCTAAGTAAACCAGCTACCTGTGTGTGATTTTTAGATAAGACTGTTATACATAATTGCATTGATGGGATTTTTAGTACTACTTCTGTTTTCCTTTGTTGTGTTTTCCATTTCTCAGAATGATTTTTTGTATATTTATTGATCTTTGTCTTAATATTGCCTTCTAATGTTGTAAGATGCTTCCTTATTCATTGGTTGTAGTTTTAAGTATTGTCTTTTATGATGTTAACCACTGTTTTATATAGATTGTTTCAACTTTAAATAGTGTCTTTCATTGTTTGTATGCTGCCTTGGGTCCTTTTTCAAGGAAAAAGGTGGGGTAAAAGTATTTTAAATAAATAAATGTGTATGTTCTGATCTACAATTAAATCCAGAATTTAAATTACAGAAAAGTGTTTCCTTTTTTATCATATCACAGCCTGTTCGTATGTTGTGATCTACAACTAAATCCAGAATTTAAATTACAGAAAAGTTTTCCTTTTTTATCATATCACAGCCTGTTCCTTTTATCTATTTACCTGGAAGGATCAGAGAATTTCAAAATAATTTTTGTATCTAATTTTAAGGAGTGGTCTGGACGCAGAAGAGCCATTCCTCTGCCTTTTATTTTCACCAAAATTCAAACCCCAGTGGTAGATGTGGCTATTCTCAAGGAAATTCAGCAAAGCTACCATATTTTTCCATGTATATGACCCCCCAATGTATAAGACACCCTCCTAATTTTGTCCCTTAGAGGAGCAGTCAATGGGCAGCCGCAAGGGGCGGCTCCGCCTCCGTCTCCTGCTGTTGCTGCTTCCGCTTACCGATCATGTTGCCACCTTGTCCCCTGCCCAAAGGAAGCCCATGAGTGGTGCTGGATGAGGCAATCCAGTGGATTGTGGAGTTTCACTGTATGTATACAACACCCAGCAGGCTTGATGTCTATTACCTGTGCTCCAAAAGCTAGAAAAGTTATGACACAAACTTCAGAAGACTACAGTCTATTGATTCTGACATATGTGCCACTAGGTTTTATGGGGCTTTTGACTGGATGTACGTGTAAGGCAGCCTTTGTAATCTGAGTAAGAGGTGTGCAAATGTTACAACCCATACACTGCAAAATTCCACTAAATAATTTTTCAGACTTATGAATAATAATCTTTAATATGATACACTTTGTATAAAACACATTAATGTTTACAGTAAATATATTAACAGTGAGGTTTGCAGACCATAAATTGTCATGAAACTGTATTTTATTCCCATTACGAGTAGCCTATAGGTCTTGGAGTAACTTCCCAGTTAAAACAAATGTATCTCTCAGTGTTCAAAGTATTTTTGTATACTTATCAGATACACTTCATTCTCGTAATGAATATTTGTGTGCACCTCTAGGAATGCCACTAAATATTCATTTATTTGATACATAGAAAAACATTCCAATATATATACTGATAAAAACTGGAGGCCAGTGAATATTAATAAGTCTACTTTTCCTCCCACATAAAGATTAAATTCCAAATAATTTATAATAAAAATAAAGGGGCTTCTTGTTGGTCGGTTTGTTTTCAAAAACCATTTACAAAATGTCCAGTGTGCTGTGCACTTAAATGTCTTGATTGTCAAGTAGTGCAAGTTGAAACATTCATTCATGTTTGTGGTAAGAGTGTTTCATTCTGTTTTGTTTGTGCTAATGCCATTTACAATGCCATTTTTCACATGCTTCGGGAGTCTTTGACCTTTGGTATAAGCATTGTACCAAAAATGTAGAAACAGGATTAAAAACAAAAAGCCATATAGCCAGATGATGAACATGAAGACTGGATACTGGTATTGGCAATTATCCATGAAGTAGATTTGTTCTATATGGAGGGTGACCAAAAAAAACTGGATCTAGAAAAGAAGAGCATGAGACATTACTATGTGTTTTAAAATCAGACATGGGGTGTGGGGGTGTGAACCTGTGTTAAAAGAGAAACCATATTTCTATGTACTTATCTGTGTTATTAAGTTAAAACAACAACAAAGACTCTTTCTGTGGAGATTCTCAGTCATCCAGGTCAGGTTATCTGGAAACTGAGTCATGGCAACTGGACTTCTTTCTTATTAAGTTGAAACATTTAGTTATTCGTCCAAGTATGAGTAGTGAAACGTTTCAACCTAATAAGAAAGAAGTCCAGTTGTCATGATTCAGTTTCCAGATAACAAAAACTCTTGTGCGGTACTGAAAAGATATACACAAGTTCTATTTGGGCAAAAGCTTTCATGGACCGAAGCCCATTTCTTCAGATGCATCAGAAGACATGGAATGCAATCCATGAAAGCGTGTGCCGAAATAGAACATGTCTTTATAGTGCCACAAAACTCCTTAGTCTGATTATGACTATAAAAATGAAGTTATCAAGTCAATTTTGATTTATGGTGACCCTTTCCAGGGTCTTCTAGATACTGACTTCTCAGAAGTAGTTAACCATTTCCTTTTTCTACAATACACCAAATGTTAAGACGGTTCTGCAAAACTGGAGCAACTTATTCTTGTCCACAGCAGAGAAAAAACACTATTCAGCTCTTGGAGGAGGTTACTGAAACTACAAATCATTTTGCTTAGCTTACACACCTAAATACCCTGTTTCCGTGAAAATAAGATCTAACCTGAAAATAAGCCCTAGTATGATTTTTCAGGATGCTCGTAATATCAGCCCTACCCCAAAAATAAGCCCTAGTTAAGTGAAAGCCCGCCCTCCACCACTGTGCAGAAACCAGAAGATGACATGACTGTATTTGAATAAACCTATATTGTTGTACATGAAAAAAAAATCCCCTGAAAATACACCCTACTGCTTTTTTTGGAGCAAAAATTAATATAAGACCCTGTCTTATTTTGGGAGAAACATGGTAATTTAAGGTTTACTCTCTTTTATACCATATCAATTCTTTCTTTCAAAGCTTAATGAATTCAAGACAGGCATATTTTTTAAAGCTAAAAGACTATGCTTTAAGTATTTGATGGGACACAAACAGCTGGCAGAATGGAAACAAACTGAAGCATACCATATGTAGAAATATTTTTAAGAATGAGAAGCCAGATTTCAGCTCTTCCTTGATTGGTAATTTGTGCCAGCTAAGGATTAATGATGAATATATTAATAAGAACTGGGACTGATTGCTATGCAGAAAGCACTCCAAATGATGACAAGAATGCCATACTAACTAAGCAGGATGGCAAAGGCCAGCTGAACTGGCATTAGGGAGGCAGAAGCTGGGCTAAATATGCCTCAGGTTCTCCCACTGTTAGAAATTACTTAGGACTACACTTGCTGAGTCCTAGTCTAACACTATCCAGCATGCCACACTAAAAGCAACTATAGTGTAGCAGATAGTGTGTCAGATTAGGACTCGGGAGGCCTGGGTTCAAATCCTTCCTCAGCTATGGGAACTGACAGGGTGATAGTAAATCATTCTTTGATATCTCACATACTGTTTTCTGTCTCCTGGAGGAATTTTTCCAACCTAATCCTAAAACAAGCACAAGCCTAATTACTGCATGTACCCAATGAATGCTTAGAATGTTCTGCTTGTGAAACTGAGATTTCATCCAAAATTGTGTTCTCTTTCCATATGTTCTGATGAAGGTGATGTGTCCACAAAAGCTTACATTGAAATATAATAGTCTTTAAGGTGCCAAATGTTTTCATCTTTTTTGTTGTTGTTTCTTTGGATTTTGTCTGACATGCTTGCACAGACTAACATGGCTGCCTTTTCTAAAACTTGAAAACACTACAGTATCAGGGTTGCCATAAGACAGAAGTGACTTGAGGACATATACGAAAAACAACCCTCACTTAGGACTATTAGGGGCAACCTAACATTGCACTGACATTATAGTTGAAAGCCTGAGTAGGTTTGAATCTGATGCAAGGTTCCCTTTAAGCAGGGTGTGTGTGCACATGTGCGATTCCACCTCCCTCAGTACAGCTCACTCCCTCCTCCGCACACCAATCATGTTTGGTTTGAGTGGTGACAGAACAATGAGTATGAGGGGGGCGGAGGTGTGCATGTGTGCACAGGGCTGAAGTCACGCAAGAGAGGGGGAGCGGGCAGGGCTGAAAATTAGAGGGTACACTGATATGGTGTAATATGGCTTCTTCCTCACCCACCTATTATTTGCCCTTGAGCTCTGTTAGACCTCAGCCAACAGAACAGGTCTGCCAGCAGATGGCCCTGTTAGCAAATCTCTGAAATCAGCTGGCAGAAGGAGGTTTTGCTTGCAGAAAGGCAGTATGGGCACCTGAATATTCAGAGCACCGCCAGTAATACTTATCTCTAGAACACTATACATTAACATCTACTGATAAATTTTATCTTAATTCGTGTAATTTTTTCGAATAGCAATTGCACTAAGTGTAAAGACTGATTTATATAAGAACCCGAAAATAAGACTACATTTTTGATAGTTATGTTTATTTCATTTCATAGGACATCATCTCACTAAAATTATTGCTTATGGTAATTTCGATATATGTGTCATTTTGAAAAAGTTACATATTATTTTTGGAGAGGCTGTACAATAAGGAACACGTTCCTTAAATTTAAATGGGCTCACACTTGTCAGCTGTGTCATAAATTCATTGCATGGCCTTAGACAAACCATTGTTTTATTAAGAGTCAGCAATTTTGTCTGTAGGAAAATCCTGAGCCAAATGGCAGCAGTAAGTGGGAAGGCTTAGTAAGGTATGTTACATTCACAATGCAGCTGTCATTTTAAAAAAGCAATTTGTTACAAGTATAAATTCAAGGATCCCCAAAGTAATTACTTAGAATTATAATCAGTGTGTTTTTAAAAGTAATGCTTTATTTTTCCTTTTCTCAGCATTAAATGAAATAATTTCAGTTACTTTAAAAAAATTACAGCTCAAAGCTACAAGTCCCTGGCCCATGGTACAAAACACACTCTCCTCCTGTCTTCCTGGTTGTCAGCTCAATACCCACACCAGAGGACAATGCACAGCACAAGCCATTGCTTGAACTACATGCCATTCCTCCTTCATTGTTTGGTGAGGCACCTATTTCTGCAAATATAAATGTACCAGATATACTACAAATTGAATGAAGTTATCCCTACAACTGTAAAATAACTTACCTATACCTTTGGGTCCTTTTTAAGGAGAAAGGTGGGATAAAAATTTGAAATAAATAAAATAAATAAATAATAAACTTGTTAGTGGGGGAAAACAATTAATTGTTTCTAGTAATTAGTTACTTCTATGCTCTGAATCCATTCAGCTAGTGTACAGCCTTTTAAAGCACAAATTCTATTAAATTTAACATAACTCCTATTTTTTTGTCATATTTTTCCAGAAACTTACCAGTTGTATAGTTGTCATATATTTTTTCCACCACAAATACTTATGATAAGCTGGCCCAAGAGAACATATTCCGTAATAGGTGTACATGATAACATGTACAATGCAGTTTAACAAACCATGGAATGTTCCTAAGCCACCTGTGGAAAGGGACAGGGAATGAGATTAACATCAGCCATGTATTTCTCTAATATTTATTTTGTTTGTTTCATTTGTGTGTGTGTGTGCGTGTGCGTGTGCGTGTGGTGCTGCCTTTCTCCCAGTGAAGGGACTCAAGGTGGCTCATATTCAGTTAAAAGACATAGGAATTAAAATACAATCAGCTATTAAAAATATAAGCACTTATCAAAAAACAACTTAAAACATAACATTAAAAAGACATTAAACCACTGTATATCATTTTCAAGAAATTTTTTTAAAAAGGAAGAAGAAATTGGAGTTGGATTTATTTAAGATTATCGTTAAGTAATCTTGGGATCATGTGGTTTGTTATATCACAGTGTTAAGAAGATGCTTTTTAGTGCTGGAATCTTTGAGCAAGGACTGTATTGTACATCATCCACCATCAGTGAATTTTTGGACTGCAGCTCTCACACAGCTCTTGAGCCAGCATCACCATTAGTTGGGGAATTCTGCAACTCTCACAGTTTTTGTGCCAGCATCGCCATTAGCTGGCGAATTCCGCAGCTCTCACAGTTTTAGAGCCAACATTGCCATTAGCTGGCAAACTCTGGGAGCTGTGCAAAAGGTATCTCCTACCAATCTCGTCCTGTATATATCAGCGCTACTACTGTGCACAGTCTATATGCCTGCTTTGCACTGCCTGCAAGTCTTCAGTGGAAGAAGGCATTCCACAACAAAAAGCAGCAACCCATGTTAGGAGAGCTCTGCATCAGGAAATAGCAGAAGGTAGGTTTGGATCTACTGGTAGATCTCTGGAGAATTTGCAGTAAACAAAAATTTCTGAATTCAGATTGTTCAAACAAGAGTGGAAAACCTGTGGCACTTCAAGTGTTGTAGGATGGCAACCCCTGTGATTCTTTACTATCCAAAAACATAGGGAGGACCACAAGTTTCCCACATTTGGTTTAAGCAATAGTGAGAATATAACTCCACCCTGTATTACACTGCTGAAATGAAGAAAGGGAGTGTATTTTTCTATGGAAAGAGTGTGAACATCACTTAGTAATGGTAAAACTAATGAACAAGCTTGAAGTGTACATCTCTTCTATCAGCTGATAGGCCTTGAAGTACTATCATGAAACAATGAATAAACAGCTGAAAAACCAACCACTCCAGAGTCTTTACATTCCCATTCTACGCTGAGCTTGGGACCACTACAACTCAACCTAGAACTTTCCCCAGCTACTATGCTGGTTTTAATTAAATCATTTAAAACAATCAGAAACCAGTAAAACAAGCTGAAGTGAGCAGAGACAGAGAGTTTCCCACAGGCCAAGGATAAGCAATAATGCTTGAAGGATTTTTGAGGTAGTTTAGGAAGATTATTCAAATTACTCCAGCAGAAAATTCTGATCGCTAACCTTCACACAGCACTTCATGCTCATATTGTGTGTGCATGTCTTCTAAGGTTCCAGTTGTGGCTATGATCAGAACCTGCCATCTGCACATCCACACATTCCTGGCTTATTATGGCATTAACTCTCATTGTCAATTGCCCATTTCATATCCATGACATGATTAGAAGCTGAAGTCAAGTCAGTCTCCCATTCATGAGATCTGGCCAGTCTACCAGTAAAAGGTTTCATTCTGTATTCTTCAATTCTTCCCTTGGTTTCAGCAGATCAACAGCCACACCTCACACTGGTGTGGCAAACCCAGGTGGTAAAACAAGGCATGCCTTCGTGTATAAAGCTCAATACCTTTTAATGCTGGGTATCTAGAAATGAGCAGTTCAGAATCTTTTAGCATCAAACTAAAAACCACTTTTAAAATTTAAGAGGAGGTAATTTTTGCTTTGTGGCCTACGCTAACCATTTACTGCATCCTTCTTTATTATAAACATTCTTGGGTCTTCATTTTTCATGAGTAGAGATGACTGAAATATAAAGAAAGTAACATTCCTCAAAACAACAACAAGGTCACCTTGTCATTCCAAATAAACATTATTTAAATCTGTATTAGTAAAGTTTCTTCGGTAGGCCAATCAAAAAGGCAGGGCAGGGTGAAAGATATGCATGCTTTTGCAACCTTTACATCACTTTGTTAGGCAACAGGATTTAAAGTATCAGGAAAGCAGGCAGGGCTCAAAGCACTACGTATGTACACATAATGACTTCCATATTAAAGTCAGCCTTCTTTCTGCCCTTTTCTGTCATCCCGGCTTATCTGATGGAAGAGAGATCTGGATATTTTGAAAGCCTACAAGGGTTTTTTTTGTTTTGTTTTTGTTTTTTTGTTTTTGCCCTTTTGGTTGATCTAAGGAAGGTATTGCTCCTGTATGCTTCATTTTTCAACATTGAGAAGGAAATCAACCAATATGTTACAAAAACTTGACTATTAAAAAAAACACCAAACCAAATTAACTCATTCTAAAAATCTTTCTTATCTTTCTACAGCAAACCTTTCTACAGAAAAGACTTGCAAAATCTGGATTAACAGTAGTAGTTATTATATACCATACAATACAGCATGAGACTAACGATTGTTAAAGAGACATTGAATGCTCCTATAGAACTTCAGAACAAGGCGAGTGAAGCGGGACACAACTATTCCAAGGGATAGGGGGCTGTGAGGCATATCAAAACATTGCAAAAAAGAGGAAACACACTGGAGTAAACTGTACTAACTGGATAAGAAGACCTAGCACATGTGGATACTTTGGAGCAAGGGCATTAGACTAATTTGAATGCCCCAGAAACACTCAGAACACTGATTCTCTCTAGGGCTAAGGAAGAGAACCTAAGTGAAAAGCAAAAATAATTGTATCCTATCATTATCCTTCTCTCAGTCTCCTCAATTTGGACAAATTACACAAAGGATTTGGAAAAAGTTACTTTTTGTACTTTAATTCCCAAGAGCCCTGTAGCCAGCATGTTCATTAGCCATGCTAACTGGGGAATTTTCAGCCCCAAATGATAATTTTTCCTAACTGATTGTATCTGCACACATATTCATGAAACTAACTGCTTTTCTTTGTTGAAAGAATTTCCAGCTTGGCAGCTAGGACATTTTTTTGCCTCAGACGTCATGTGCCAATGGAAGCATGCCATTTATAAATGGCTTTGTAATTAAGAAATTGATCAGAGCTAAGGAAAGGCACACTTCAAGCCTGCAAAATCTACTATATGAGTTTGGTTTTTAACTAGGACCCTGACATCCACCACCTGACAGTCCAAAGCCAAAGATATATCCTTCCAACGAAATAATTCCAACTCCAGAAAATTGTTTTGAATACCAGTACTGAGTGGAGTTTACAGTGCTTCCACAAATAAATCTACTCTTGGTTGCACAAAGCTTTCCTCATTCCAGCAGTATAGTTTGCAGTGCTGGTAGAGGGAGTCAATTTGTTCTTGCTATTGTTAAAGAAACAGGAATCTAAAATCCTTGCTAGTCTACTGTAAATGAGCACTACATCCAGCTTTCCCTTTTACTCACATCTGATCTGCATAAAGGCTATGATCCAGAGAAGTGAGTGCCAAAGAAAAAAAGCAAGAGCAACATACATTACATGGGTCTTTTGAAACATATGATGGGGACAAGATATCTTCAAATATAAATTGTGGCTGTCGTGCTTAATAAGTGAGATTAAAAGCCTTAATGGATAATAATTTAGATGAGGTGGTGCAAGGATTGCTTGTCTTATTTGTTGATGACACAAAATTGGGTGGAATAGCTAATACCTTCAAAGACAGAAACAAAATTCAAAGAGATCTTGAGCTCTGGGCTAAAAACAAAATGAAATTTAACAAGGATATGTGCAAAGCTCTACATCTTCCTGTGCATCACCCAAATGCACAGTTACAAGATTAGGGGTACTTGGCTCAGCAATACTACAAGAGAGAAGGCTCTTGGAATTGTTGTAGATTTCAAGCTGAATATGAGCCAACAGCAGGATGCAGCTGCAATAAAAGGCAAATGTGATTTTAGGTTGCATTAACAGAAGTCTAGTCTTCAAATCTCATGAAGTACTAGTTCCCCTCTATTCAGTACTAGTTAGGCCTCGTCCAATTCTGGATCCACACTTTAATAAGGATGCAGACAAACTGGAACTGAATCAGAGCAACAAGGATGGTCAGGGGGCTGGAAACCAAGCCTTATGAGGAAAGACTGAAAGAACTGGCCATGTTTAGCCTTGAGAAAAGAAGACCAAGGGGAGATGATAGCACTTTTCAAATACTGGAAAGGAGTAAGATCTGTTCTTAACTCTTCCTGAGTGCAGGCCATGCAGTAATGGGCTCAAGTTACAGGACACAAGATTTTGGTTTAATGTCAGGAAAACCTTCCTAACTGCCCAATGCAAAACTGCACTAAATTCAGGCCTAAAAGTGAGGTGTCAATTTCACTCATCAGAAGGAGTAGGTTTATCAAGAAACTTTAAAATCCCAATTTTACTTATACACGTTTCCCCTTCATCAATTAATTTTTTTTTAATTTAAGAACATGAATACCTAAAATGTAATTTCTTTAATGTGCTAAAAGAATGCTACCAGAGAGTTGGGCTAGCAACCAATGACGTTATTTGTTCTTTTAGGGTAATGGGGGCAATAATGTTCCTTTTAAAGGTAACATTAAAAAAAACCCAAAATTTACATAGTTACCCATGTTTGTTACTTTTACTCTTTATGTTTGGGAGGCAAAAATGCTTTAGGAAAGTATTTTGAAGGTATTTTCTTTCAGCAAACAATGATTACAAGCTACCCATTTTTTCATAGTCAAATTAGTACTGATAACCATTATTTTTAAAATGTAACTTGTAATTTGGTAATATGGAATGTCACTTTTAACACCTGTTAAAGACAACTGGATACAAAGACAAACCTTTTCGAGACTGACATAATGTTCTAATAGTTATATGGTAAAAACAGCACTATCAGCCACTCTTTTAAATATAAATAAAAGACTTCCTTTGGGATTAATTCAACTGGTTTCTGAGCTACATGATTACCTGTAGTTCCCTCTTTAATCTCCTACCCCATGTTCGTCTTCCCCATTACCAGTTTTTGCTGGACTATTTCTGATTGCTACAGATATTCTCAGAGCTAGGACAGTCTAACACATTAATGCAAATGAGAGGATCTGCATAATTCAAAGGGAAGGATCTGTTGACTGTCAGTACTTTTAGGCAACTAATGTTTCCAAAAATCAGCACTGTACAGATTTGGCGTTAAAGACAATCTAATGTTAGTTACAGTTCAATAGAAGTGAGCAACCAGAAGCCACTGAACACTTGCACCAACAGATAATTGTTTAAGGAACAGAGTTTAAAATGGATAGAAAATTAAGTAGTTCAATACAAATATAAAAGTCAGCATGGAATCTATTAGGAAAAAAAGCACATTCTCTTTTTAGAAGTTACGAAAAGCAGAAATAAGTTGTACATCAAAATTATCAACCTAGATATGGGATGGCTTCTTAAAGTCAATAGGATATATGGCAAAGAATTGTAAAGGAAACTGTCCATGCAAGTTGGAGAAGAGAGTGGAGAACAAGAAGTGACAAAGATAAAGATCCTCCTTAGGAAACAAACTTTTACTTAAAATGTTAAGTCTTGAGTACCTGGAGCAAATTTGACTCCAAACCACCAGGTCCAAGGCATGATTGTGTGATGAAAAACATGCAGGAATGTAACTTGGGCATTCTTCTTCCGAAGAATAAAGAAGACCTGAAATAATTTAAAATAGATATTACAAGAAGTCACATTTAAAGCTGGCTGCATATATCAGAACAAGACGTTCAATACACTGCAATTAAAGAGTTTCCTTTATCTTTGCTTTTAACATACAGCTGAGAGTGTATAAAATCCATAAGAACTTCAATGAGTTCAATGAAATCACAGATCAAATTCCCTAGACAGTAACCTAAGCTGCCATATATGAGCTTCATCAATCTATCTGTGCATCCCCATAACACCTATTTTGACTGGCAATAGCTTTTCATGGTCACAAGCTCTGCTGGTACAGTGGGGTCTTGACTTAAGAACGACTTAAGAACATTTTGACTTAAGAACCGCTCTCATAGGAAAATATTGACTTGACTTAAGTACTTAGATTTGAGTTAAGAACTGAAAAAACCCACGTGGGAGGCAGGGAAAGTGCAAAATTTGAACTTTCAGTTAACTGTTGGCCAGTGAAAAGGGTGCCTGTCTGCTTCCTCACTCCTCCCAGCAAACGCAGAGTGGATTGGGAGACAGTCTTCAGACTGCCTGGTACTGTACTGCCTGGACTGTATTTTCCCTGCCTTCCCTGAACCTTTCTTGACCTAAGAAAAAAAGAAACAAAATATCCCCCTCTAGTGGTCGAAAGCGGAATAGCAGCTTCCCATTAGTTTCTATGGACGGAAAAGAGCAGATACGGATCAAATGGTTTTCAATGCATTCCTATGGGAAATGCAGATTTGACTTGAGAACTTTTTGACTTGAGAACCGCCTTCCAATACGGATTAAGTTCTCAAGTCAAGACCCCACTGTACCTGTTGCCAAAAAACTATCAGCTGGAAATGCCAGAAACTGAACTTGGAACTCTCTATTTATAACCACACACTTTATCACAAAAAAATGACTTCTTCAACATGTCTGTAAACCACATTTATTGTATTTAGCTCCAAAATCAATGTATGATGGTAGACTTGTGATCAACATTTCTAGCCAGTGTATTTGAATTTCATTGCAGTTTAAATACCACTTGGACCTGGAATTGAAAAAGTGACTTTTTAAGGATACAACTGCTGGGATCTCTGCTACTACAAGCCATGCTACTAGCCATGGTAACCAGGAATTCCCTGGTCATTGTAGGCCAAATAGTGAAACTTTTGCAATCTGTGCAGAATAGCCAATTCTATTTGCAAAGAGGAACTGAAGTGCTTAAAGCAGATGCTTAACTCTTTTCCCTCTCAAAGTGACCTTGATGTGATCCTCTGCCCTTTGAATCTACTGTATAGATATCTCTGTGTTTTCCCCCATGGGAGAAACACCATCTTAGGTCAGGGGAAACGGCATAAGACAACAACAATTCAGATTAAGGAAACTAGGTACATACCCCTTTCCAAGTCAAACAGTTACCTTAAGATATAGTGAAGAAAATGCAGGACATTCTGGTCCTCTATCATGTCTACTTGAGCATTTATATTATGGATGTGGGACATATAATACTTGAGATGTCATTGGACTGAAACTCCCATAATTTCTCTTGGCTGGACTGGCCGGAGGATGGCTTACAATCCAGCAAAATCAGGAGATCCATGTTCTTATTGTTTTTTCCTAATATTTTGCTACTCTTTTAGTTCCTTCAAACATTGATCGTGTTCACACCTGCTTAGCTTGAGCAAAGCTATATGAGCTGCTGTTCCCTAAGCAACCATAGGTTCAAAGCTGCAGCTGCAGCACCCTGGGCTTTAAAGCATGCACAACACAGTAAATACCTTGGTGATTTCTCAGAGTTGCATCTATTGTCTTAAGAATAAACTCCTTTTTGAGCACTGGAACTTTTCCTTTCTCTCCACTGCCAGCTCCAGACATCCCATGCTACCTTCAAATCTGCTTCCATTAGACCCATCCCACCCTCTGGAACAGATGAGAGGGCATGCAGATAGCTGCGAGGGGTGGGTGGGTACAGAATCCCTTCTGCCAGTGGTGCAATAAAGTGGACAGACACTGTTGGGTATCACCATTCAAGGCTAATTAGCAAGGTGCCAAAAAGTGTGGTAGATCAAGCAGATAGAGGTGGCCAGTTATAGTCACCATCATTACGAATAATTTCTGGGCAGATCTTAAAACCCATGTTTTTCAGTTGCGCTGGCAATAAGGGAGGGAAAAAAAGGAATGAAAAAAGCTTTTTTGAGTTGGCCTAGTAATCCAAATCAATGACACCACATGAAGTTAATGCAACTTTTTTTGTTGTTCAAGAGAACAATAAGGTGCCTTTGTTCATTGCATTCTGTAATAATACTTACAGTATCTAGCAGTTCAATAAATTTGGAAAAATAATACAGCCAACAGACACGAACCATCTGCAGAAAACACAAATATTAAATTCAAAGCAAAATCTAATCATTTCAAATAAAGACAACTTATTCTTGTTAACCTTCATGAAGATTTCCAAGTTGTAGTATCATATTTGTGTACAGCAGAGCAGCTTAAATATACTTTGCCATCAGGTAGGAGGAGATACAATCTAGGAAAATGTCCTAGCGAGGAGAAAATGCAAAGCAGGACTTATGTTTGCTTTTAAAATAACCACACAAGCAGCTTGTAAAATAGACAATTCCACAGCCAGGATCCTAATAAGCACTGGGGAAACAGCATCTTCTGCCAGTGGAACGGCCCTGGATTCTTAGCTTGTTGTTCAGCAAATGTAAATCAATCCACTGTAACAACCCAGCTTCTATTGATGTAAATAATATATATTCTGTTTAAATTACACTGCCTACCAGCCGCTGCCCAGGCCCAATTCAAAGTGCTTGTTTTGACATATAAAGCCCTAAATGGCTGGGGCCCTGGATACCTGAAGGGCCGCCTCCTTCAATACGAGCCTGCCCAGCAATTAAGATCTAGCCAGGGAGCCCTTTTGAAAGAGGTGTCCCTTAAGGAGGTAAGAGGGATGGCTTGTAGACAAAGGGCCTTTTTGGCAGCTGCCCCCAGACTATGGAACACCATCCCGAGGAAGATTCATCTGGCGCCGACGGTGATGATGTTTCGGTGCCAGGTCAAAACCTTCCTGTTCCAGAAGATTTTTAATTGAAATAAAATCAACTGTGGGTCCTGATGGGAATTGTATTTTGTTTTATCTTTTTATCGCACTTAAATTGTTGTAATCCACCTAGAGACGTTTGGGTAGTGTGGGCGGCATATGTTAAATAAATAAATAAATCTTTTTTAAACAAACAAGTAAGAAGTCAAACCACTCATGCTACACAAGCTGTTTGACTGAACAGGATCCTAACCCATTTTACAACTTGTGATGGGATGGAGAACCAAATTGCTAGCTCACTGGAGTGGTACTCGTGCTTCTCATTAAGTGTTGAAACACAAATATATCTGCAACTCTTCTATGTAGGCAGTCCGGAGTGTTCCTGGAATGTCAGCTACTGTTATCAGTCTCAATACATTACTCACCCTTAGAGCCATTGGTGACCTTGAGTAATCAACTAGGTCACAGCGAAATGTATAGCCTGTAGCCCAACCAGACATGAGGAACTGCAAGAGGAAGAAGAGGAGGCTTTGGGTGAACATTTTAAAAAGAAAAAGAAATCTGTTTGCATAAATGAACAAATTGCAGACAGAAATGCCCACAGCTGCTTATCAGCAAGTGGATTATACTGCTGTGCAGATGACTCAAAACACTCACAGAGGTGAAGCTAAATCCGACAGCAACTAAAAACAAATGGGCATGTGGTAGCCGATAACAAAGCACAGAGTCTGGAAAAGTTACATCCACCCCAATCAAAATGGTCAACAGAAATCTCCTTAAGGAAAACAAGACAATTGCTAGAAAACCAGCCAGCACTAAATGTTGGTTTCTCCTTCAACTTGGCACAAGGAGTAGAAGCAGAGCTGGGAAACCACTTTTTTAAAACAAGTCCCAGAAAACTCCAATTAGTGTGGCTCCATTCTGTGCTGTCTGGAGTACTTGGGGAGTTGTAATCGAAACAAAAAAAATCGCACTTATCACTCCAATTACACCACTACACTTAATGCCAGCATGAATATTTAATTAGATTTTGGCCAAAATTAAAAACAGGTACAAGTGGTAGGCAGGCTATTGAATGTTTCTGTACATGTTCTGTAGGTGTTTTACAAGACTATTCAGTCAGAAAATTACTTTCAGTAAGATATTAAGACATAGACAGTTGTACAGATGATAACAGGGAGATTACAAAATTAATCATCAAAGGAAATATCTTTGCAATTGACAGATCAGAGACAGAAAAAGACAAGTGAATCCAGAGGTTATTTTTCTTTTAAGTGCCCACGAAACAACAAAGCAAACTATGGAAAACATCTTCCAGTTTCATAGATCAATAACCAAGCAGAAAGTTTTGCATGTAAAAAGACTCCAGTCCATTTCCTGATATTTCCAGGTGGAGCTGAAAGAGTATGAAACCTCTGTCACTGTGAACCAACAGATCAATCATCTGACACAATATAAAGCTGTGATGCTTAAGGATTACCTACCTCAAATAATTCCAGTGTTCAAGTTTGACAAACTTTACTTTTGTTGCTTGTGCAAACATAGGTTACTGCATTAACGTACAGGGGTTTTACCTAGGATTGATCTCCCACGAGCCTTTGTAATGCTCTCCTTGCATGTGTGGAAAAGTAAAGGAAGAAGTGCATAGAGGTGCAGTGATAGCGCCTAGAGATCACGTTTCCTGTGATGTGTTTCATGGGGGTAAATTGCCCATGCTCACAGTTTCTCTCTCCTGCTAGTAATATTGCAAAAAGTTACAGTACCACCCTATCTTAGAAAAGTTACTTGTTGAGACTAATTTCTAGGAATCTGTTGCCAACAGGCATACTGGGAGGATTCTGAAACTGTAGTCTAAGAAGTAAGTTTTCCACTTAGTCAGGCCTCCAAAGTACCTACACAGAGAACATATTGCCACCCCATGCCAAATGATTTCTAGGATAATCTTCTTGGCTATCATTTTGTTGCGAAAATTATACTCTACTGTAGTGCTGTAGCATGACATTGCCAAAGAATCTTGGGGAAGCAAGGGAAGTTCAAAACCCATGCACACTTTCTCCAAAATTTGAGACAGAAGCCTAAAGAGGCCTTCTTCCTTTTCACTGACTTGGCACGTGGGGAATGATGCAATTCTGAATTGCTAGACTATGATGAGGCGAGGGGGACTGTTGACCCTTTAGATTTTACAGATGTCAGCTCCCAGAAAGTTCAGGAAGCTTGGCCAATGGTAAGGGACTGTAGGAGTGGTACTCTAGAACAGTGGCCCCCAACCTTGGTCCTCCAGATGTTCTTGGACTTCAACTCCCATAAATCCTGGCCAGCAGTGTTGCTGGTGAAAGCTTCTGGGAATTGTAGTCCAAGAACATCTGGAGGCCCAAGGTTGGGGACCACTGCTCTAAAATGATTTCCACTTCTGCCTTGCAAGAAGCCTGGAAATAAAATTATCTTCAGGAGACAGTGTACACACCTGCTTAAAGCTGAACGGCAATCTTTGATTTCACATTAATATTTTCACACTTGTACACAGAAATCTCATCTACATAAACAGATGCACATACAAAATCCCCCTTGGAATCTGAGGAGGGAGAAAAGAAAAACTGATTCACATACCCTATCTTGCTGAACTTGTTACTAGTCTATTCTCAGACAAAACTTACCTCATAAGCCATATAAATTGAAAGAGCTACTACACCAAAGTTGTAAAAAGCCATTATTTGTCTCAATTCAAACGGCTTTCTGTTTTCCATGAATTTCGGTCCGAGAATAGTGACAAAATAGATATAGCTGCCAAGAATAATGGCCTGTGGCAAAGGTGAAGACATAAGCGGGTACCCTTCCACTCGTGGATCTGGAAAATATTTTAAAAGAGAGAGAGAAGACTTTTAATGCTTTCAAACTGTGAACTACACACAGAAGACACTCGGTATTTAAATTAGGGAGAAAAGATGTATGGGGGTCTGAAAAAAGAACACTGGAAGGCCAGATACGAGGTTAGAGAACCATTCTGCCTTTGAAAATGAAGCCTTGATTATTATTATTAGGAACATTACCCTGCATATTGAAGCAGAACAATCTCTACACGATTGGACTGTGTGTACTCTCTGAAAATGCTGATTAGCCACCACTAAGCTATAAGTATGTCTCAAGAGCATTGCAGCAGGGAGTGACTAGGAAGTGAAGGTTAAAAGAACTCTGAGATTTATAAGCTGGGCCCTCTATCTGCAGGCAGCTGCTGTGAAGGGGAAACAAGTGGTATACTGAGAATATACTTCTTTCTCTCTTTTTTAAACACTTAAGCAAAAGCAAATGGGCCACTAAGCTACTGCTGTGCAGCAGACACTAGGTGCCAACACCTGTGTCTTACTGCTTGCTGTTGCTGACATTTTGCTGGGCAAACCCCTTACTTTGTCTGCCATATATTTTCATAAATTGAAACAAACAGAAAAAAAGCCTCCCAAAATCCACTATATCTATAAAAACACTAAATAACTCCAAGGGTGGCGGAAAGAGCATCAACCATTAAACAAGAAACAATACATTTAGAGCTATCACTAGAGATGGGCACGAACTGCCAGTTTGGTGCAGTGTGTTTAGTGGCCACACAGGTGATCTGCAGTTTGGCGCCCCATTTCCTCCAGTAGGCACTCACTTGGAGGCAGCATCCTGGTTTCCCTGCCCTGCCTCCTCTGGGCATTGCTTCCAAGGGGACACCCACCGGGAGCTGGATCAGCTTTGTGACCGGTAAGCAAACTGCACCAAACCAGCAGTTCATGCCCATCTCTAGGGACACCCACCGGGAGCCTAACTGTGGATCAGCTTTGTGACCAGTAAGCAAACTGCACCAAACCAGCAGTTCGTGCCCATCTCTAGCTGTTACATAATTAATTAACTGATTACTTTAATTAATTAATTAAATTAAAAAGAACATTGTGGCGCTGTGGGTTAAACTGCGGAAGCCTCTGTGCTGCAAGGTCAGAAGACCTGCAGTCGTAAGATCGAATCCACGCGACGGAGTGAGTGCCCGTCGCTTGTCCCAGCTCCTGCCAACCTAGTGGTTCGACAGCATGCAAAAATATGAGTAGATAAATAGGTACCACCTCGGTGGGAAGGTAAACAGTGTTCCATGTCTAGTCACACTGGCCATGTGACCACGGAGGATTGTCTGCGGACAAATGCTGGCTCTATGGGTTGGGAACGGAGAATAGCACTGCCGCCTAGAGTTGGACATGACTAGACAAAATTGTCAAGGGGAACCTTTACCTTTACCTAAGGCTTTCAAAGGCCTGGGAGCTATGTTTAATTTGCTTTCCAAAGCCAGAGGGGCTGACACAGCTTCATTGGAAGGGAATTCCACAGTGAAGCAGCCATCACTGAGAAGGCCCAGTTGACGATTTCCAGGCCTTCCTGAGTGACCACCTGCAGCAGCAAGGATTGGGGTGAACGGGTAAGGTGGGATGTTAATCTGAGGGAGAGGCACTCTGTCAGGAAACAAGGTCTTAATCCATACAGGGCTTGATAAATTAACATTAGCACCTTGAACTTAGCCTGGAAGCATACCAGCACCCAGTGCAAACAGGACAGAGCAGGCAAAATATTTTGATGTTCCTGAGACCAGCCTGGTTGCTGCCTTTTGCACTTGCTGTAGCTTCTGAACCACATTTAAGGATAGCCCCACATAGAGAGCAAGGCGATAATCAATTCCTGAGATTACCAACACATGGAGAGTCTTATTAGGGACTTTCTGTCAAGATAGGGATAAAGATGTGCAATCTACTTAAGTTGGAAAAAGGCAAACCCGGCCACAGCCAAGAACTGAACTCTCCATTGAGAGGGCCAGGTACAGAAGCACACCCAAATTAGAGACCTGATTATTCAGGGGAAGTGTAACCCCATGCAGACCAGGAGACAAACCCTCTATCCAATAAGAGTGCCCTTCTAACAAGAGGAGATCCATTGTATCAGGATTAAAGTTCAGTCTATTAGCCCTCATCCAGTCCATAACTATGGCCAAGCAGCACTCCAGGTCTTTCCAGATTCCCCTGCCAAAGAGGAAAAGGAGAGAGTTGTGTGTCATCAGCGTTCTTATGGATGACAATGCACTCCAAATCTTGAATAACCTCTCGCAGGAACCTCATATAAATGTTGAACAGCAATGGGGAGATGACTGACCCCTGTGGGACAGCACATGCTATCTCACTTAATGGAGCTGACTAGTGATAGGTTTAAGGTCAGGCCTAAGAGAAAAAAGGACATCACACAACACATTTTACTAAAAACTGTCACAAAATATGGTGGTGGTCATTGGATTAAATGAATTTAGGAAGGGTTTAGGCTGGGATGGGCAAGGTCCAAGTGATGGGAGAGGCCAAGTGGCACCCATCAAATGCACCAGGTGGCCATAAACCTGCTGCTAAATTTGTTGCAGAAGAGCAAATCTGCTTCTAGACAAGGAGTGTAGTGGCCCTGCACTTTGTTTTAAAAGAAAGCACAGTGTTTAAAGGAAACAGCAGCTGCTGTGGCAATTTTGGTGGCAGGAGACTCAGATGGGGGCAACATGGAGGGGGTGCAAACAGCCACAGGCTATTTGTGAAACGTTGCTGGATTAAACAAATTAAATGAATGATAGGCCATGATAATTAAGTATGAATGCTGTATGAGACTACTGAGTTCAGAGACAGTGCAGCTGTCAAACATCTTGTTTTTACCTGGAATCTTGTATCTGGGAACATGACTCAGCTTTAAAATAAAGTGGATACTATCTTTGTCTTATTTCAAAATGAAATCATGGCTTTTCATAACATTTTGGCATAGCTGCCAATTCAACAGCATGGGATAGCAAAAACAAGAGACACATGCTTCTTATGAGCCACATGTGCCTGCTTTAAATGAGATAGGTTAAACTCCCTCTTCCAAAAATTCAATGCCATTTTAGAGTGATAAAAACATAATAGACCGAAGCCCTCCTTCAGTGAAAGTCATGATAGGCAACACACAAGACTTGTGAAACCTTTAACAACAACCCAAAAAGAGAACCTCTACCATCTACTACAGACCCTGCCATTAATTCATACATGCCTCCATCCAAATATCTCAAATCCAGACAGATATGTGTAGAAGCTAACAAAATAAAATTGTTCTCTTTTCTAGAAGAGTAGCTTGAGCTGCAGTCCAGCTAACGGGTTTGTAAGTATTGTATACTAGGTATTACAATTTTGTACTCGTAATTCAAATTTTGTGACTTAGATAAACTATGCTGATTTGTCAAATTTGCAAGGCTTGTTTTTCAACTGTTGGCAGTACAGTCCATATGGGTCAATTATTTTATATTTTATCTTTCCTTGACTTATAAGTGTAAGTTATAAATTGTGCAACAAGACACCAAAAAGACATTCTGTTTTTCAGGAAGTATGTTTGGGCATGTTAATGCTATCTTATTTGCATGCAATTAATTGCATCTGTGCACACAGCATGAACACCCGGCACAGCTTCCTATTTATCTCATGTTCCACGTTTGGTTACCCTCCAATACCACCTTATTCCTTTCTCCACATGACATGTTACCCTTCCATGTCCACACATCTTCTCAACAAACCACCCTCTCCCTGAGTGGGCCCCACCACACAAATGCACATTTCCACATTTCAGTTTTATGTAAGCATTCTTAATATCCCTCCAAATACAATGGAAGTCCATCCGATTACTAGACATTATTAGAGATCAAGACTCACCAGCATTTTTCATCCATTCATCATAAAGGGATACAGCTTTTAATGTTAGATTGTTAAGAGCCATCTTCACAACAGTAAGCAGGATTCCCCCTGTGGTAAAATAAACAGGATATATGATTAAAACCAGGAAAGAAGGTATGGCTTTTAAGAATTGTCACTGCAATCTCTGCAGAGAAACAGCTTAAATATAGAAGCCAAGACCATGGTTATAGGCTGCAAATGTTAATTAATCATGTGCTTTTTTCTTCAGTTCTAATTCAAGTTATGCAGTGCTGTCCAACTGATGCTCCATATTTGTATACCTAAGAATACAAGCCTCAAACCCTAGAACAAAGTTACCCTAAAGCTAGCCCTGCTGAATCCAGCAGAAGAGACTTAGCGTTTGGCTCCATGGTTGGCTGGAACAGGCTGGTCCGGGATAAACGGGATCACTAGGAGGCCCAGTATGCCATCTGGTTCATTTTTTTTTGTTTGCTTTCCTCTTAAAGGTCTGGTCAAGAGCCTGCCAGGAGCTGTATTAGGCAGGTTCCTGACTGGATCATTAAAGAAAAAAGCAAACAAAAATCCCCCTTGTTGCCCTCCTCCTGGAGGAATTTTTCCATTTGTTTTTTTAAAGTGATGCAGCACTTATTCAGTGCCCTAATACACTCTAATTTTTTCACTTCCTTGGTCCTTCCACAGAGCCGAGGAATTATTTGATTTGGCAGTATCCTGAAGTCGCTCTATTCTCAAGACACTTCATAATATGGCAAATGGATAGCACAAAGCTTGCTTCTGGTTCATTTCCAGCAATTGTATGCACGGGAAATGAACCAAAACAGAGTGATCCTACCTGTAGCAGAAAAGTTGAAACCCTTAACAGGAGATAGAAAGGTGTGGGTTGGAATGCTTTGGGGTGGGCTGTTTCACTCCAGCAAATACATTGTCTGATCACCATTTTTAGGAGTGAACCATCCTGTCCCCACAGCAGACCAAATGGCAGGCTAAAGGCCTGTGTACTCATCATGCTAAATTTCACCCAGTTGCATTCAGGTTCACAACTAGAATCCAGGTTCATGACTAGAATTTAAATTTAATCACTGCAATTTAAAATTTCACAACAGTAATATCATGAAGAAGCACAATATTAAACTCAAGGTTTCCATTTCTGAAGAAACAACATAACAGTGCACGATATTCTTAAGAAGACAACTGGATACGGATTTAAGAGTTTGGAAATTAGACAACAGCAGGATAATGACCCACTTTTCATACCAGCAAGCTCTCTTGTAAAACATCAAGCATTCAAGTTTGGAAACACACATGATCACTTGTTCATCCAGGGCATCACAGAAACCTCCTCACAATTAGTTTTTTTACTCATAGGGCAATTCATAATGGCAGATTGCACATAAGCTCAACTGTCTGATTGCTGCTGCTAAGTCCAATACTAAGAGCACATCCACATCCCACCGCCAAATGCCCTGTTATAATGGTTTGCTTGGGCTCCAAGTCAAACCATGTCAGGTGTATAGTAATTATCTGCTTCCAGCAGCAAACGTATAGCCTGGACAATGTCTAAATTGCTCTAGCTGATGGCAAAAGGAACTAGAAAACGTTACAATCCTGAACTAAAACTTTCAGAATTCACAAGCCAATGGCTACACTAGTGGAGAAATTTTGGAAATTTCAGTCCCAAAAACTTTCTGAATTCTGATGATAAGGTCATCTAGTGAGTTTTGTGGCTCAACAGGATTGGAATAAGACATCTCAATCCAGGGCCTGAACCCCTACATGATACTGGCTTTCTTCTTTGCATCCTTTGGGCTGACCTCTGCTCTGAACCTGGATTGTGACCAAATAGCTCTCTGGCATAACCTACCAGAGCTACACAGAGTGGGCATAACTTCTCTACAGTGTATTTTCTAGTACTGTACTGATTTGGAATGCAAAACCCAGTCTCACTGGAACTTTGGCCTAAATCCATTTATTACTCCCAACTAGAATAGAGCCACTGAATCACTAGGATCTTGATGGACCAACATTTATGTGAGTGCCATTGATTCATTGGATCTAGTCTAGCTGAGTCTAACAATGAAATTTACCCTGTGCACACAAGCTGCCAACACTGACAGTGCGAGAGTAGACTGCAATGTCTTCAACTAGTTAATATTATTTTCAGCTCCACATAAGCAGCTTTCCAAACACAAAACATAGTTTCAAGGCAAAATTCACCAGTTGTGAGGGCAGTATCCTGACATTTCACTGAGCTGGCTTCAAGAGAGATCAGTGGAACCAAACTCAGTTGAACCAAACTCTTGTACTGCCTTTTCAAATCTTAACACTATATTAGCAAGCAAATCTCTCTCACACACACACACATACATACACAGCTTAAGCAATCTGAAAGGAACCTAATATGGCAACAAATTATAGCTCCCCTTCCTACAGCTCAGGGTCAGATCAATGGGACAATTCCTAAAATAAGATGGAAAATGTGACTCCCAATTTCCTCATGCTCTGTGTTTTACGTAATGGATAATAATTCTGAGGGCAGCATAATAAATGTAGTGCTGATAATGAGTAGAAATGTAAATCGAAGCAAATACTAGACCTGAAACAGATGCTTGTTTTCAAAACACTAACTGAGGAATATACCTTAAGCCCTTTTCAGGCATTGCTCAAGTGGCACTGTGAACATGATTCCTGTTACTGAGTTATCCGTGGCTACAGCACTGGGTCTGAAGAGAGTAGTCCTGCTCATGTATAGGTCTACATGTGAGTCAGAGCCCAGATTTTCTATGATTCTTGTGTGTGCGCAAGGTGAACAGAGACTTTTCTTCTTCAGAACCATGCTGTAACCATGAAGATCTTGAAAAGGGGGACAGACAAGTGGAGACAGGAACTCCCTTCTAAGCAGGTTCACAGTGCCAGGCTGAATAATACCAGAATAGAATTCTTGTAGTTACACTATTTAAAGATGCATTATGTTTTCCACATTAGGCACAAAACTATAATGCATCAACTCCCAGGCAGTTCAGACTCCACTGAAACCAACATTTACTTTTTAACCCAGCAATTGCTCACCAAAAACTAATTCTTCCTAGAACTGGCTAGCTGCTTTCCCTCCTAAACTATTTCGCTCCCCTTTCTATTATCTTTCTCAGGAAAGCCAAAGAATAACCCTGCTTTCCTAATTCCCTTTTCAGACTCAGCAACGCTCAGCCATATTTGCCATCTATGGGATCAAAATCCTATCTGGCAGTTAAATCATCAGTCCTGGTAATCTAAATCTCTTCCTTTTATCTCAGTGGCTGTCGATATATTAGGATGTTATTGGCTTAGGATACCTTCAGGAGGATGGCCGATTAACCTGCCCATCTTACATGAAAGAAAAAAGTATTTTTCCATTATAGAAGTCTTTCAGTGATACTGTGCCTGAAATATCTTTCCTTCCCATCTCAAATGTTGCATCTTCTACACTGTAAGACATCATTCTAAACCATGGCTTGCAATGTGTGACCCTCCAGATGTTGCTAGAGTATAACTTCTATCATCCTTCACTGTTGGCTCTGCTTCCTAAGAGTGATGAGGCTGGAGTCCAACATCCTGTAGGCCACACTTTGTCACTCCTATTCTAAATTGTGAATTGAGTAGATTAATAGAAAGGGGGTACTGATGTAGCAAGTACATGCACACACTTACTGATCAATCAACTTTAGTAGGAAAGAGATTATAGTAGAAATAATGGGAGGTGCTGTCCGATAATTGGAAGGCTATAGAGCCGCCCCGAGTAGACGGTGTCTAGAGGGGCGGGGTAAAAATTGAATGAATGAATGAATGAATGAATGAATGAATGAATGAATGAATGAATAAATAAATAAATTCATCAATCTTGATTTTGAAAAATGTTTCTTTTTAGTTGTTTATCTCTAGGATTTTATGATCTGTCATTAATCCTCTCCCTCCATCACAAGATAGATTCTGCTTTCTATTTTGCAGATAAAACAAACATCTCGCCCTTCCACCACTTTACTGTTTTATTGCCTCTTTTGTTCCATACCCCTTTGGTGGTCTTTAGTTCTGAAATTATTTTCCTCCTTTCCAATGTGACTGACTGACTTAACACTATAAACCACGGCTCTCTCTCTGCTTCAATGCCTGTCTCTGCTTTAACTTCTGGTAGTGGGCAGCTCTCTCAGAGGTAGGATGTACAGTGCCCAGTTCAACCATCATCAAAAAGGTGGACATGCATCACCAGAAAGGATGACAAAAGAGGATAGTGATACTGATGACAAAAGAGGATACTGCTTTTGCTAATTTATATTTACAGATGCAGAATGAGAAATTATGTTCATAACTTAAGCACAGTTGTTACAAAGCATCTCACCCCAGTGTGGAAGAGTGTGACCCAACAACCCACTGCTTTCCAACCTTGCATCTCCAGATGGTTTTTGGACTACAACTCTCAGAAATCCTGCACAGCACAGCTAAAAGTGAAGGTTTCTGGGAGTTTTAATCCAAAAACATTTAGGGACCCAAGGTTGGGAACCACTGAAGTAACCCATTATGATCAGTCTGCACTCCAGGTACTCATTGTGGATGGGTAACATCAAAGTTTCTGATTGCCTCTTATTGCTCTTTACCTATAAATCAGGGTTTTTCCTATAAATCTCAGTGGCACACATGCCCATTGCAGACATTTTTGTCAATTTATTTTACTGAAAAGCCCCTTCATACCCTCCAATGGCAACATTTTTTAAAAAAACAAACATAAAATGAGGTGTGGGGAGAGCACATGGGGCAAAACATGCCAAAATCTGCCGCTCTGTCGGCTCTAGAGGCCACATGGGGACTTCTTCAGCAAACCTTTAAAAAAAAATAGGATGCATAGCAGGTGTGGAGGGGCTATACTTTGCCCATACATGCTTTCATCTTTTGACTAGGCAGATCTTCAACTGGAGGTTCTATGGCTGCCTTTCAAATATATGGCTGTCTTACCTAAAAGAGTGCATATGACCATTCTAATAAGATATCAGCATATACATGATCCTAGAAAGGTTCTCAAGCAATTTAACAAATGTTTAATGACAAAACCACTTTATAAACTA